ATCCGCACCGATGTATCCATTGGTGCATTGGCACAATACCGACGCATGACGATGCACACATTGGTACATCAGCGCCATGCAGATGCGCGCCGATGGATCCATTGGTGCATCAGTACCATGCCGACGCGCGCCGATGGTACTAATGCACCAAAGCATGCATCGGCGCGCGTCGGCATGGTACTGATGCACCAATGGATCCATCGGCGCGCATCGGCATGGTGCTGATGCACCAATGTGTGCATCGTCACGCGTCAGTATTGTGCCGATGCACCAATGGATACATCGGTGCGGATCGGCATAAGCGGATGCACCAATATGTGCATCGGCGTGCGTTGGGATGGTGCCGACGCACCAATGGATCTATCGGCGTGCATTTGCATGGTGCTGAAGCACCCATGGGTGCATCGGCGTGCGTCGACATGGTGCCGATGCACCAATGGATACATCGGCGCAAATCGGCATGAAGCTGATGCACCAATGGGTGCATCAGCGTGCGTCGGCATGGTGCGGATGCAACCATGGATGCATCGGCGGACATGGACAAGGCGTCGATGCACCAAGGCATGCATCGGCGCACAACGGCATGGTGTCAATGCACCAATGGATGCATCGGCGCACGCCGGCATGATGTCGATGCGCCATACGATGCATCGGCACACATCGGCATAGTGCTGATGCACCAAGGCATGCATCGGCGTGCGTCGGCATGGCATGCATCGGCGTGCGTTGGCATGGTACTGATGCACCAATCTATTTATCGGCACGCATCGGCATGGTGCTGAAGCACCCATGGGTGCATCGTCATGTATCGGCATTATGCCGATGTACCAAATGGATACATCGGCGTAGATCGGCATGAAGCAGATGCACCAATGGGTGCATCGGCGTGCGTCGACATGGTGCCGATGCACTAATGGATACATCGGCCCACAACAACATGGTTTCGATGCACCAATGGATGCATCGGCGCACGTCGGCACGATGACGATGCACCAAAGGATGCATCGGTGCGCATCAGCATGGTACTAATGCAGCAAGGCATGCATCGGCATGCGTCGGCATGGTACTGTTGCACCAATGGATCCATCGGCGCGCATCGGCATGGTGCGGATGCACCAATGTGCGCATCATCATGCATCGGCGTTGTGCCAATGCACCAATGGATCTATCGACGCGCATCGGCATGGTGCTGAAGCACCCATGGGTGCATTGGCGTGCATCGGCATGGTGCCGATGCACCAATGGATACATCGGTGCAAATCGGCATGAAGCTGATGCACCAATGGGTGCATCAACGTGCGTTGGCATGGTGGCAATGCACCCCTATATGTATTGGCGGACATGGGCAAGGTGCCGATGCACCAAGGCATGCATCGGCGCACAACAGCATGGCACCAATGCACCATGCATCGGCGCACGTCGGCATGATGTCGATGCGCCATACGATGCATCGGCACACATCGGCATAGTGCTGATGCACCAAGACATGGATCGGCGTGCGTCCGCATGGCATGCATCGGCGTGCGTCGGCATGGTACTGATGCACCAATAGATTTATCAGCGCGCATCGGCATGGTGATGAAGCACCCATGGGTGCATCGTCATGTGTTGGCATAATGCCGATGTACCAATGGATACATCGGCGTGGATCGGCATAAAGCTGATGCACCAATGGGTGCATCGGTGTGCGTTGGTATGGTGCCGATGCACCCCTAGATGCATCGGCGGACTGGGCAAGGTGCCGATGCACCAAGGCATGCATCGGCGCACAACGGCATGGTGCCAATGCACCAATGGATGCATCCGCGCACGTCGGCACGATGTCGAAGCACCAAAGGATGCATCGGCACACATCGGCATGGTACTGATGCATCAATGCATGCATCGGCGTGGGTCGGCATGGCATTCATCGGCGTTCGACGGCATGGTACTGATGCACCAATAGATCCATCGGCGCGCATCGGCATGAAGCCGATGCATTAATGGATACATCGGCACGGATCGGCATAAAGCTGATGCACCAATGGGTGCATCGGCGTGCGTCGGCATGGTGCCGATGCACTAATGGATCCATCGGCCCACAACAACATGGTTCCGATGCGCCAATGGATGCATCAGCGCACGTTGGCACGATGCTGATGCTCCAAAGGATGCATCAGCGCACATCAGCATGGTACTAATGCACCAAAGCATGCATCGGCGCACGTCGGCATGGTACTGATGCACCAATGGATCCATCGGCGCGCATCGGCATGGCGCTGATGCACCAATGTGTGCATTGTCATGCGTCGGTATTGTGCCGATGCACCAATGGATACATCGGTGCGGATCGGCATAAAGCTGATGCACCAATATGTGCATCGGCATGCGTCGGGATGGTGCCGACGCACCAATGGATCTATCGGCGTGCATCGGCATGGTGCTGAAGCACCCATGGGTGCATCGGCGTGCGTTGACATGGTGCCGATGCACCAATGGATACATCGGCGCATTTCGGCATGAAGCTGATGCACCAATGGGTGCATCGGCGTGCGTCGGCATCGTGCGGATGCACCCATGGATGCATCGGCGGAAATGGGCAAGGCGCCGATGCACCAAGGCATGCATCGGCGCACAACGGCATGGTGTCAATGCCCCAATGGATGCATCGGCGCACGCCGGCATGATGTCGATGCGCCATACGATGCATCGGCACACATCGGCATAGTGCTGATGCACCAAGGCATGCATCGGCGTGCGTCGGCATGGTACTGATGCACCAATCTATTTATGCACGCATCGGCATGGTGCTGAAGCACCCATGGGTGCATCGTCATGTATCGGCATTATGCCGATGTACCAAATGGATACATCGGCGCGGATCGGCATGAAGCTGATGCACCAATGGGTGCATCGGCGTGCGTCGACATGGTGCCGATGCACTCATGGATCCATCGGCCCACAACAACATGGTTTCGATGCACCAATGGATGCATCGGCGCACGTCGGCCCGATGACGATGCACCAAAGGATGCATCGGCGCGCATCAGCATGGTACTAATGCAGCAAGGCATGCATCGGCACGTGTCGGCATGGTACTGTTGCACCAATGGATCCATTGGCGCGCACCGGCATGGTGCGGATGCACCAATGTGTGCATCGTCATGCGTCGGCATTGTGCCAATGCACCAATGGATCTATCGGCGCGCATCGGCATGGTGCTGCAGCACCCATAGGTGCATTGGCGTGCATCGGCATGGTGCCGATACACCAACGGATACATCGGTGCGAATCAGCATGAAGCTGATGCACCAATGGGTGCATTGACGTGCGTTGACAAGGTGACGATGCACCCCTAGATGCATCGGCGGACATGGGCAAGGTGCCGATGCACCAACGCATGCATCGGCGCACAACGGCATGGTGCCAATGCACCAATGGATGCATCGGCGCACGTCGGCATGATGTCGATGCACCATACGATGAATCGGCACACATCGGCATAGTGCTGATGCACCAAGGCATGCATCGGCGTGCGTCCGCATGGCATGCATCGGCGTGCGTCGGCATGGTACTGATGCACCAATAGATTTATCAGCGCGCATCGGCATAAAGCTGAAGCACCCATGGGTGCATCGTCATGTGTTGGCATTATGCCGATGTACCAATGGATACATCTGCGTGGATCGGCATGAAGCTGATGCACCAATGGGTGCATCGACGTGCGTTGGCATGGTGCCGATGCACCCGTAGATGCATCGGCGGACATGGGCAAGGTGCCGATGCACCAAGGCATGCATCGACGCACAAGGGCATGGTGCCAATGCACCAATGGATGCATCCGCGCACGTCGGCACGATCTCAAAGCGCCAAAGGATGCATCGACACACATCGGCAAAGTACTGATGCACCAATGTATGCATCGGCGTGCGTTGGCATGGCATGCATCGGCGTGCGTCGGCGTGGTACTGATGCACCAATAGATCCATCGGCGCGCATCGGCATGGTGCTGAAGCACCCATGGGTGCATCGTCATGTGTTGGCATTATGCCGATGTACCAATAGATACATCGGCGTGGATCGGCATGAAGCTGATGCACCAATGGGTGCATCGGCGTGCGTCGACATGGTGCCGATGCACTAATGGATCCATCGGCCCACAACAACATGGTTCCGATGCACCAATGGATGCATCGGCGCACGTCGGCACGATGCCGATGCACCAAAGGATGCATCGGCGCGCATCAGCATGGTATTGATGCAGCAAGGCATGCATCGGCACGCGTCGGCATGGTACTGTTGCACCAATGGATCCATCCGCGCGCATCAGCATGCAGCGGATGCACCAATGGATACATCGGTGCAAATCGGCATGTCGCTGATGCACCAATGGGTGCATCGACGTGCGTTGGCATGGTGCCGATGCACCCCTAGATGCATCGGCGGACATGGGCAAGGTGCCGATGCACCAAGGCATGCATCGGCGCACAACGGCATGGTGCCAATGCACCAATGGATGCATCCGCGCACGTCGGCACGATGTCGAAGCACCAAAGGATGCATCGGCACACATTGGCATGGTACTGATGCACCAAGGCATGCATCGGCGTGCGTCGGCATGGCATGCATCAGGGTGCGTCGGCATGGTACTGATGCACCAATAGATCTATCGGCGCGCATCGGCATGAAGACGATGCATTAACGGATACATCGGCACGGATCGGCATGAAGCTGATGCACTATTGGGTGCATCGGCGTGCGTCGGCATGGTGCCGATGCACTAATGGATCCATCGGCCCACAACAACATGGTTTCCATGCACCAATGGATGCATCAGCGCACGTTGGCATGATGCCGATGCTCCAAAGGATGCATCGGCGCACATCAGCATGGTACTAATGCACCAAAGCATGCATCGACGCGCGTCGGCATGGTACTGATGCACCAATGGATCCATCAGCGCGCATCGGCATGGCGCTGATGCACCAATGTGTGCATCGTCATGCGTCGGTATTGTGCCGATGCACCAATGGATACATCGGTGCGGATCGTCATAAAGCTGATGCACCAATATGTGCATCGGCGTGCGTCGCGATGGTGCCAACGCGCCAATGGATCTATCGGCGTGCATCAGCATGGTGCTGAAGCACCCATGGGTGCATCGGCGTGCGTCGACATGGTGCGGATGCACCCATGGATGCACCCTGAACTCCATCACCCTGCCCCATTCTCCCGCTTTCCATCACCCCGCCCCATTCTCCCGCTTTCCATCACCCCGCCCCATTCTCCCTCCTTCCATCATACCGCCCCGTTCTCCCTCCTTCCATCACCCCGCCCCATTCTCCCGCTTTCCATCACCCCGCCCCATTCTCCCGCTTTCCATCACCCCGCCCCATTCTCCCGCTTTCCATCACCCTGCCCCATTCTCCCGCTTTCCATCACCCCGCCCCATTCTCCCGCTTTCCACCATCCCGCCCCATTCTCCCGCTTTCCATCACCCCGCCCCATTCTCCCGCTTTCCATCACCCTGCCCCATTCTCCCGCTTTCCATAACCCTGCCCCATTCTCCCGCTTTCCATCACCCTGCCCCATTCTCCCGCTTTCCATCACCCTGCCCCATACTCCCGCTTTCCATCACCCCGCCCCATTCTCCCTCCTTCCATCACCCCACCCCATTCTCCCTCCTTCCATCACCCCGCCCCATTCTCCCGCTTTCCATCACCCCGCCCCATTCTCCCGCTTTCCATCACGCCGCCCGATTCTCCCGCTTTCCATCACCCCGCCCCATTCTCCCGCTTTCCATCACCCCGCCCCATTCTCCCTCCTTCCATCACCTCACCCCATTCTCCCTCCTTCCATCACCCCGCCCCATTCTCCCGCTTTCCATCACCCCGCCCCATTCTCCCGCTTTCCATCACCCTGCCCCATACTCCCGCTTTCCATCACCCCGCCCCATTCTCCCGCTTTCCATCACCCCGCCCCATTCTCCCTCCTTCCATCACCCCGCCCCATTCTCCCTCCTTCCATCACCCCCCCCCATTCTCCCTCTTTCCATCACCCCACCCCATTCTCCCGCTTTCCATCTTCCCGCCCCATTCTCCCTCCTTCCATCACCCCACCCCATTCTCCCTCCTTCCATCACCCCGCCCCATTCTCCTGCTTTCCATCACCCCGCCCCATTCTCCCGCTTTCCATCACCCCGGCCCATTCTCCCGCTTTCCATCACCCCGCCCCATTCTCCTGCTTTCCATCACCCCGCCCCATTCTCCCTCCTTCCATCACCCCGCCCCATTCTCCCTCCTTCCATCAACCCGCCCCATTCTCCCTCTTTCCATCACCCCGCCCCATTCTCCCTCTTTCCATCACCCCGCCCCTTCTACCTCTTTCCATCACCCCGCCCCATTCTCCCGCTTTCCATCACCCCGCCCCATTCTCCCGCTTTCCATCACCCCGCCCCATTCTCCCGCTTTCCATCACCCTGCCCCATTCTCCCGCTTTCCATCACCCCGCCCCATTCTCCCGCTTTCCACCATCCCGCCCCATTCTCCCGCTTTCCATCACCCCGCCCCATTCTCCCGCTTTCCATCACCCTGCCCCATTCTCCCGCTTTCCATAACCCTGCCCCATTCTCCCGCTTTCCATCACCCTGCCCCATTCTCCCGCTTTCCATCACCCTGCCCCATACTCCCGCTTTCCATCACCCCGCCCCATTCTCCCTCCTTCCATCACCCCACCCCATTCTCCCTCCTTCCATCACCCCGCCCCATTCTCCCGCTTTCCATCACCCCGCCCCATTCTCCCGCTTTCCATCACGCCGCCCGATTCTCCCGCTTTCCATCACCCCGCCCCATTCTCCCGCTTTCCATCACCCCGCCCCATTCTCCCTCCTTCCATCACCTCACCCCATTCTCCCTCCTTCCATCACCCCTCCCCATTCTCCCGCTTTCCATCACCCCGCCCCATTCTCCCGCTTTCCATCACCCTGCCCCATACTCCCGCTTTCCATCACCCCGCCCCATTCTCCCGCTTTCCATCACCCCGCCCCATTCTCCCTCCTTCCATCACCCCGCCCCATTCTCCCTCCTTCCATCACCCCCCCCCATTCTCCCTCTTTCCATCACCCCACCCCATTCTCCCGCTTTCCATCTTCCCGCCCCATTCTCCCTCCTTCCATCACCCCACCCCATTCTCCCTCCTTCCATCACCCCGCCCCATTCTCCTGCTTTCCATCACCCCGCCCCATTCTCCCGCTTTCCATCACCCCGGCCCATTCTCCCGCTTTCCATCACCCCGCCCCATTCTCCTGCTTTCCATCACCCCGCCCCATTCTCCCTCCTTCCATCACCCCGCCCCATTCTCCCTCCTTCCATCAACCCGCCCCATTCTCCCTCTTTCCATCACCCCGCCCCATTCTCCCTCTTTCCATCACCCCGCCCCTTCTACCTCTTTCCATCACCCCGCCCCATTCTCCCTCCTTCCATCACCCCGCCCCATTCTCCCTCTTTCCATCACCCCGCCCCATTCTCCCTCTTTCCATCACCCCGCCCCATTTTCCCTCTTTCCATCACCCCACCCCATTCTCCCTCTTTCCATCCCCCCGCACCATTCTCCCTCTTTCCATCACCCCGCCCTATTCTCACTCTTTCCATCACCCCGCCCCATTCTCCCTCTTTCCATCACCCCGCCCCATTCTCCCGCTTTCCATCACCCCGCCCCATTCTCCACCCCGCCCCATTCTCCCGCTTTCCATCATCCCGCCCCATTCTCCCTCCTTCCATCTCCCCGCCCCATTCTCCCGCTCTCCATCACCCCCCATTCTCCCTCCTTCCATCACCCCGCCCCATTCTCCCGCTTTCCATCACCCCACCCCATTCTCCCGCTTTCCATCACCCCGCCCCATTCTCCCTCCTTCCATCACCCCGCCCCATTCTCCCTCCTTCCATCACCCTGCCCCATTCTCCCGCTTTCCATCACCCCGCCCCATTCTCCCGCTTTCCATCACCCCGCCCCATTCTCCCGCTTACCATTACCCCGCCCCAGTCTCCCGCCTTCCATCACCCCGCCCCTTTCTCCCTCCTTCCATCACCCCGCCCCATTCTCCCTCCTTCCGTCACCCCGCCCCATTCTCCCGCTTTCCATCACCCCGCCCCATTCTCCCGCTTTCCATCACCCCGCCCCATTCTCCCGCTTTCCATCACCCCGCCCCATTCTCCCGCTTTCCATCACCCCGCCCCATTCTCCCGCTTTCCATCACCCCGCCCCATTCTCCCTCCTTCCATCACCCCGCCACATTCTCCCTCCTTCCATCACCCCCCCCCATTCTCCCGCTTTCCATCACCCCGCCCCATTCTCCCGCTTTCCATCACCCCGCCCCATTCTCCCGCTTTCCATCATCCTGCCCCATTCTCCCTCCTTCCATCACCCCGCCCCATTCTCCCGCTTCCATCACCCCACCCCATTCTCCCGCTTTCCATCACCCTGCCCCAATCTCCCGCTTTCCATCACCCGGCCCCATTCTCCCGCTTTCCATCACCCCGCCCCATTCTCCCGGGTTCCATCACTCCGCCCCATTCTCCCGCTTCCATCACCCCGCCCCATTCTCCCGCTTTCCATCACCCGGCCCCATTCTTCCACTTTCCATCACCCCGCCCCATTCTCCCTCTTTCCATCACCCCGCCCCATTCTCCCTCCTTCCATCACCCCGCCCCATTCTCCCGCTTCCATCACCCCACACCATTCTCCCGCTTTCCATCACCCTGCCCCATTCTCCCGCTTTCCATCACCCGGCCCCATTCTCCCGCTTTCCATCACCCCGCCCCATTCTCCCGCGTTCCATCACTCCGCCCCATTCTCCTGCTTCCATCACCCCGCCCCATTCTCCCGCTTTCCATCACCCGGCCCCATTCTTCCTCTTTCCATCACCCCGCCCCATTCTCCCACTTTCCATCACCCCGCCCCATTCTCCCTCCTTCCATCACCCCGCCCCATTCTCCCTCCTTCCATCACCCCTCCCCATTCTCCCGCTTCCATCACCCCGCCCCATTCTCCCGCTTTCCATCACCCAGCCCCATTCTCCCCTTTCCATCACCCCGCCCCATTCTTCCGCTTTCCATCACCCCGCCCCATTCTCCCGCTTTCCATCACCCGGCCCCATTCTCCCGCTTTCCATCACCCCGCCCCATTCTCCCGGGTTCCATCACTCCGCCCCATTCTCCCGCTTCCATCACCCCGCCCCATTCTCCCGCTTTCCATCACCCGGCCCCATTCTTCCACTTTCCATCACCCCGCCCCATTCTCCCTCTTTCCATCACCCCGCCCCATTCTCCCTCCTTCCATCACCCCGCCCCATTCTCCCGCTTCCATCACCCCACACCATTCTCCCGCTTTCCATCACCCTGCCCCATTCTCCCGCTTTCCATCACCCGGCCCCATTCTCCCGCTTTCCATCACCCCGCCCCATTCTCCCGCGTTCCATCACTCCGCCCCATTCTCCCGCTTCCATCACCCCGCCCCATTCTCCCGCTTTCCATCACCCGGCCCCATTCTTCCACTTTCCATCACCCCGCCCCATTCTCCCTCTTTCCATCACCCCGCCCCATTCTCCCTCCTTCCATCACCCCGCCCCATTCTCCCGCTTCCATCACCCCACACCATTCTCCCGCTTTCCATCACCCTGCCCCATTCTCCCGCTTTCCATCACCCGGCCCCATTCTCCCGCTTTCCATCACCCCGCCCCATTCTCCCGCGTTCCATCACTCCGCCCCATTCTCCCGCTTCCATCACCCCGCCCCATTCTCCCGCTTTCCATCACCCGGCCCCATTCTTCCTCTTTCCATCACCCCGCCCCATTCTCCCACTTTCCATCACCCCGCCCCATTCTCCCTCCTTCCATCACCCCGCCCCATTCTCCCTCCTTCCATCACCCCGCCCCATTCTCCCGCTTCCATCACCCCGCCCCATTCTCCCGCTTTCCATCACCCAGCCCCATTCTCCCCTTTCCATCACCCCGCCCCATTCTTCCGCTTTCCATCACCCCGCCCCATTCTCCCTCTTTCCATCACCCCGCCCCATTCTCCCGCTTTCCATCACCCCGCCCCATTCTACCGCTTTCCAGCGCCCCGCCCCATTCTCCCTCTTTCCATCACCCCGCCCAATTCTCCCTCCTTCCATCACCCCGCCCCATTCTCCCTCCTTCCATCACCCCGCCTCATTCTCGCGCTTCCATCACACCGCCCCATTCTCCCTCTTTCCTGCACCCCTCCCCATTCACCCGCTTTCCATCAACCCGCCCCATTCTCCCGCTTTCCATCACCCCGCCCCATTCTCCCGCTTTCCATCACCCCGCCCCATTCTCCCGCTTTCCATCACCCCGCCCCATTCTCCGGCTTTCCATCACCCCGCCCCATTCTCCCGCTTTCCATCACCCCGCCCCATTCTCCCGCTTTCCATCACCCCGCCCCATTCTCCCGCTTTCCATCACCTCGCACCATTCTCCCGCTTTCCATCACCCCGCCCCATTCTCCCGCGTTCCATCACTCCACCCCATTCTCCCGCTTCCATCACCCCGCCCCATTCTCCCGCTTTCCATCACCCCGCCCCATCCTCCCTCCTTCCATCAACCCGCCCCATTCTCCCGCTTTCCAGCACCCCGCCCCATTCTCCCTCCTTCCATCACCCCGCCCCATTCTCCCGCTTTCCATCACCCCGCCCCATTCTCCCGCTTTCTATCACCCCGCCCCATTTTCCCGGTTTCCATCACCCCGCCCCATCCTTCCTCCTTCCATCACCCCGCCCCATGACAAGCGCAGCCACGTGACCCGGCGGAAGAAAAACACTCGGAATGAGCGCTTCCAGCCCCAAAACGCGGAAGGATCCGCTCATGTGCAGGAAGTGCAGCGGGCGCTCTTCATTCGCGAGCGCCGATGACCGATGATGCTCGCAACCCTCCCACGCCCTTGCTGGCTTGGTAATAGGCCCAGACAAGCGCAGCCACATGACCCGGCGGAAGAAAACCGCTCGGAACGAGCGCTTCCAGCCCCAAAACGCGGAAGGATACGCACATGTGCAGGAAGTGCAGCGGGCGCTCTTCATCCGCGAGCGCCGATGACCGATGATGCTCGCAACCCTCCCACGCACTTGCTGGCATGGTAATAGGCCCAGACAAGCGCAGCCACATGACTTGGCGGAAGAAAAACGCTCGGAACGAGCGCTTCTAGCCTAAAACGCGGAAGTATTCACACATGTGCGGGAAGTGCAGCGGGCGCTCTTCATTTGCGAGCGCTGGTGACCGATGATGCTTGCAACCCTCTCATGCCCTTGCTGGCTTGGTAATAGGCCCAGAAAAACGCAGCCACGTAACCCGGCGGAAGAAAAACGCTCGGAACGAGCACTTCCAACCCCAAAACGCGGAAGGATACGCACATGTGCAGGAAGTGCAGCGGGCGCTCTTCATTCGCGAGCGCCGATGACCGATGATGCTCGCAACCCCCCCACGCCCTTGCTGGCTTGGTAATAGGCCCAGGCAAGCGCAGCCATGTGACCCGGCGGAAGAAAAACGCTTGTAACGAGCGCTTCCAGCCCCAAAATGCGGAAGGATCCGCACATGTGCAGGAAGTGCAGCGGGCGCTCTTCATTCGCGAGCGCCGATGACCGATAATGCTTGCAACCCTCCCACGCCTTTGCTGGCTTGGTAATAGGCCCAGACAAGTGCAGCCACATGACCCTGCGGAAGAAAAACGCTCGGAACGAGAGCTTCCAGCCCCAAAACGCGGAAGGATACGCACATGTGCGGGAATTGCAGCGGGCGCTCTTCATTCGCGAGCGCCGATGACCGATGATGGTCGCAACCCTCCCACGCCCTTGCTGGCTTATTAATAGGCCCACACAAGCGCAGGCGCGTGACCCGGCGGAAGAGTAACGCTCGGAACGAGCTCTTCCAGCCCCAAAACGCGCAGGATCCGCACATGTGCAGGAAGTGCAGCGGGCGCTCTTCATTCGCGAGCACCGATGACCGATGATGCTCGCAACCCTCCCACGCCCTTTCTGGCTTGGTAATAGGCCCAGACAAGCGCAGCCACGTGACCCGGCGGTAGAAAAACGCTCGGAATGAGCGCTTCTAGCCCCAAAACGCGGAAGGATCCGCACATGTGCAGGAAGTGCAGCGAGCGCTCTTTATTCGCGAGCGCCGATGACCGATGATGCTCGCAACCCTCCCACGCCCTTGCTAGCTTGGTAATAGGCCCAGACAAGCGCAGCCACGTGACCCGGCGGAAGAAATACGCTCGGAATGAGCGCTTCCAGCCCCAAAACGCGGAAGGATCCGCACATGTGCAGGAAGTGCAGCGGGCGCTCTTCATTCGCGAGCGCCGATGACCGATGATGCTCGCAACCCTCCCACGCCCTTGCTGGCTTGGTAATAGGCCCAGAAAAGCGCAGCCGCATGACCCGGCGGAAGACAACCGCTCAAAACGAGCGCTTCCAGCCCCAAAACGCGGAAGGATCCGCACATGTGCAGGAAGTGCAGCAGGCGCTCTTCATTCGCGAGCGCCGATGACCGATGATTTTTGCAACCCTTCCACGCCCTTGCTGGCTTGGTAATAGACCCAGACAAGCGCAGCCACATGACCTGGCGGAAGAAAAACGCTCAGAACGAGCGCTTCCAGCCCCAAAACATGGAAGGATCCGCACATGTGAAGGAAGTGCAGCGGGCGCTCTTCGTTCGCGAGCGCTGATGACCGATGATGCTCGCAACCCTCCCACGCCCTTGCTGGCTTGGTAATTGGCCCAGACAAGCGCAGCCACATGACCCGGCGGAAGAAAACCGCCTGGAACGAGTGCTTCCAGCCCCAAAACGCGCAAGGAAGGAAGTGCAGTGGGCGCTCTTCATTCGCGAGCGCCGATGACCGATGATGGTTGCAACCCTCCCACGCCCTTGCTGGCTTAGTAATAGGCCCAAACAAGCGCAGGCGCGTGACCCGACGGAAGAAAAAACGCTCGGAACGAGCGCTTCTAGCCTCAAAACGCGGAAGGAAGTGCAGCGGGCGCTCTTCATTCGCGAGCGCCGATGACCGATGATGCTCGCAACCCTCCCACGCCCTTGCTGGCTTGGTAAAAGGCCCAGACAAGCGCAGCCACTTGAACCGGCGGAAGAAATCTGCTCGGAACGAGCGCTTCCAGCCCCAAAACGCGGAAGGATCCGCACATGTGCAGGAAGTGCAGCGGGCGCTCTTCATTCGTGAGCGCCGATGACCGATGATGCTCGCAACCCTCCCACGCCCTTGCTGGCTTGGTACTAGGCCCAGACAAGCGCAGCCACATGACCCGGCGGAAGAAAACCGCTCGGAACGAGCGCTTCCAGCCCCAAAACGCGGAAGAATCTGCACATGTGCAGGAAGTGCAGCAGGCGCTCTTCATTCGCGAGCGCCGATGACCGATGATGCTCGCAACCCTCCCACGCCCTTGCTGGCTTGGTAATAGGCCGAGAACAGCGCAGCCACGTGACCCGGTGGAAGCAAAACGCTCGGAACGAGCGCTTCCAGCCCCAAAACGCGGAAGGATCCGCACATGTGAAGGAAGTGCAGCGGGCGCTCTTCATTCGCGAGCGCCGATGACCGATGATGCTCGCAACCCTCCCACGCACTTGCTGGCTTGGTAATAGGCCCAGACAAGTGCAGCCACATGACTTGGCGGAAGAAAAACGCTCAGAACGAGCGCTTCCAGCCAAAAACGCGGAAGTATTAGCACATGTGCAGGAAGTGCAGCGGGCGCTCTTCATTCGCGAGCGTCGATGACCGATGATGCTTGCAACCCTCTCATGCCCTTGCTGGCTTGGTAATAGGCCCAGACAAGCGCAGCCACGTAACCCGGCGGAAGAAAAACGCTCGGAACGAGCACTTCTAATCCCAAAACGCGGAAGGATATGCACATGTGCAGGAAGTGCAGCGGGCGCTCTTCATTCACGAGCGCCGATGACCGATGACGCTCGCAACCCCCCCACGCCCTTGCTGGCTTGGTAATATTCCCAGACAAGTGCAGCCATGTGACCCGGCGGAAGAAAAACGCTTGTAACGAGCGCTTCCAGCCCCAAAATGCGGAAGGATCCGCACATGTGCAGGAAGTGCAGCGGGCGCTCTTCATTCGCGAGCGCCAATGACCGATGATGCCCGAAACCCTCCCACGCCCTTGCTGGCTTGGTAATAGGCCCAGACAAGCGCAGCCATGTGAGCCAGCGGAAGAAAAACGCTTGTAACGAGCGCTTCCACCCCCAAAATGCGGAAGGATCTGCACATGTGCAGGATGTGCAGCGGGTGCTCTTCATTCGCGAGCGCCGATGACCGATGATTTTTGCAACCCCTCCACGCCCTTGCTGGCTTGGTAATCGGCCAAGACAAGCGCAGCCACATAACCCGGCGGAAAAAAAAACGCTCGGAACGAGCGCTTCCAGCCCCAAAACGCGGAAGGATCCGCACATATGAAGGAAGTGCAGCGGACGCTCTTCATTCGCGAGCGCCAATGACCGATGATTTTTGCAACCCCTCCATGCCCTTGCTGGCTTGGTAATAGGCCCAGACAAGCGCAGCCACATGACCCGGCAGAAGAAAAACACTCGGAACGAGCGCTTCCAGCCCCGAAACGCGGAAGGATCCGCACATGTGCAGGAAGCGCAGCGGGCGCTCTTCATTTGTGAGCGTCGATGACCGATGATGCTTGCAACCCTTCCACTCCCTTGCTGGGTTGGTAATAGGCCCAGACAAGTGCAGCCACGTGACACGTCGGAAGAAAACCTCTCGGAACGAAAGCTTTTAGCCCTAAAACGTGGAAGGATCAGCACATGTGCGGGAATTGCAGCGGGCACTCTTCATTCGCGAGCGCCGATGACCGATGATGGTCGCAAACCTTCCACGCCCTTGGTGGCTTGGTAACAGGCCCAGACAAGCGCAGCCCCAAAACGCGGAAGGAAGGAAGAGCAGCGGGCGCTCTTCATTTGCTTGCGCCGATGACCGATGATGCTCGCAACCCTCCCACGCCCTTGCTGGCTTAGTAATAGGCCCAGACAAGCGCAGCCACGTGACCCGGCGGAAGAAAAACGCTCGGAACGAGCTCTTCCAGCCCCAAAATGCGGAAGGATCCGAACATGTGCAGGAAGTGCAGCGGGCGCTCTTCATTCGCGAGCGCTGATGACCGATGATGCTCGCAACCCCCCCACGCCCTTGCTGGCTTGGTAATAGGCCCAGACAAGCGCAGCCATGTGACCCGGCGGAAGAAAATCGCTTGTAACGAGCGCTTCCAGCCCCAAAATGCACAAGGATCTGCACATGTGCAGGAAGTGCAGCGGGCGCTGCTTATTCGCAAGCGCCAATAACCGATGATGCTCGAAACCCTCCCACGCCCTTGCTGGCTTGGTAATAGGCCCAGACAAGTGCAGCCATGTGACCCGGCGGAAGAAAAATGCTTGTAACGAGCGCTTCCAGCCCCAAAACGCGGAAGGATCCGCACATATGAAGGAAGTGGAGTGGACGCTCTTCATTCGCGAGCGCCAATGACCGATGGTTTTGCAACCCCACCACGCCCTTGCTGGCTTGGTAATAGGCCCAGACAAGCGCAGCCACATGGCCGGCGGAAGAAAAACGCTCAAAACGAGAGCTTCCAGCCCCAAAACGTGGAAGGATCAGCACATGTGCGGGAATTGCAGCGGGCGCTCTTCATTCGCGAGCGCCGATGACCGATGATGGTCGCAAACCTCCCACGCCCTTGGTGGCTTGGTAACAGGCCCAGACAAGCGCAGCCCCAAAACGCGGAA